AAAGATGTTTTTTTTTTTTTTTAAGATGCGGTAAAGCCTTTATTTATTAAAAATTCAAATTCAAATTACAAAATAAAAGAAAATCCCAAAAAAAGGTATAAAAGTAGAAAAAATAAAATAAAAGCTGCTTAGCCTTCCTCAAAGGGATAAACCAACTCCAACCAAACCAACTGGTTGTCTCGTCACGCTCAAAATCAACTACAAAGAGAAAAAATGTCAACACATAACAGTAGGGGAAATTGTTTGAGACAACTAGTTTTCACTGCGTTAAAAAGAGTCAAGATCTGTCGTGAATAAAAGAGTTAGTAAAAGTTTGTAAATGATTTATATTATTATCAAAATTAGGAGACAGAAGCGGTATAGGAGTCTGTTTAGAGCTACATGATTTCGTTCTCTTTTTTTGTTTGTGATGTTGAAGGATAACTCCTTTTCAACTATTAAAGCACATCTGGATTTCCATATCAAGGTAATAGATTGTTCAATAAAATGATCATAAAAAGCAGAAAGAATAGCAAGGGTTTTGGTTTGGCAGTTGGATAAATTATTGATGAGAAGATAAAATTGGGAAGGTATGATTCCTTTGATGAAGTCAATAAGGGTGAAAGGGGAACTGGATGGTTAAAGAAAAGACCAGTAAGGATGAGATGGGTTGAGGATTTGTTGTAGTTCAGGTGACTATTTATTAGAAGAAGTGTAAATAAAGAGATGATTTTTGAGAGTTTGGATACTTCTAATGACGATATTGATGATGGTGAGTCGAATCTCTGAGTAGGCCCAGATATGTGTGAATGTTTCAACTGTGGTGTTGCAACGACAGCATTTCCAAATAGAATCATAAAGATTGGATAAAGTGAGCTTAAGAAATTTTATAGTGGGCATTTGTTCCAAAAGGAGTTGGTATCTTTGTTTATGATAGTATGATTCTTTATAAGAAATTTGATTGTTTGAGTCATAATTGATGAGTTTAAAAGTGTAGAGCCAATTAATAGGCTTATTTTTTAATGGTTATTTCTTTGAAGATTATAAAAGTCACAGAAAGATTTAGAGTTGATGAAGTCTTTAAAAAAGGGTTGGATTTTTTTGTTAATAGGATATGATTGAAAGGTAAGAATAAAAAAGAGATAAGGAACGCGCGAGAAGGAGAGAGAGATAGAAGAATCAGTAAGAACGGATTTAGCCAAATAGTCTACTTTTTTATTGAAAGTATTTCCAGAGTGTGCTTTAACTTTTACCAAGAATAAAGTTAATTGTTTTTCTTCAATGAGCTTGAAGATAAAACATCAGTATATGTAAAATAAGGTTTTGAAAAACAACGAAGGGTAAGTACAAACGTTGTTTTGTAGTAAATAATTATATAATAGGATCATGGAAAGACTATCAGTATGGATTTTAACAAACAAGCCAAAAGGACATATGAAAAGAGTCATTAAGAAAGCAAAAATTTCAGCGTTAGTAGAATTGGCCCAAAGAGGAGGCAAAGCAGCAGCAAAACTAATATTTAAAGTATCGTGAACTAATAAAAAGACAGAACTAATATGAGTTTGTAAAGGAGAAGGTAAAAACAGATGAGAACCATCAGTATAAAATTCTAATTGTTTTTCAAGAAATAAATTAATTCTAAAATTGTTAAGTGTAATAATGCAATCTGTTAAGGTAAAAAAACTTTCTATAGTTAAAATATCCAAATCTAAACTAAGGTTATCAGGTAAAATATTTGAGACTGAAGAAGTATGTATGAAACAGAATCTAGCAACGGCTTGATCCATAATCGGCCATAATGATCTTTTAGGAACATAAAGATTTTTTTCATTATTTAGGAGCAAAGGAGATGTAGAAATAGGATTTGGTAATAATGGATCTACAAAAGTAATACAGTGCAGCTTTTTAAACTTTGGTTTAATTTTAAAGCGCTTTCGATTTTTTTTAAAAAAGCAATTGATACAAGGAATGAACACATCTGACCTCTTTGATGATGAACGAGGATTATTGGTAAGGTTCATCAAAATGAAGTGCTGGAAGAGACAAGGTGGAGCAGGAGAAACGAGTTTGAAGACTTTTCCAAATATTGGTGAGCCTGGAGTTGGAAACTTGTATATGTCATATTCAGGAGGTGTCCATAAATTGGCACAGCCAGTGTTCCATTGAAAATCAGCAATAGATAGAGAAGTGTTGTAATTATTGAATACTTGAATTTTGAAACAGAATTCTAGTTTAAGACGGTTAGAGTAAACTGGATTAAATAGAACTATTTTTTTAATACTTTAAACCAACGTGGAGTAACACCATTGAAATTTGTCGAAGAATAAGATTTAAGTTGAATGTCATAATAGTTAAAAAGGAATTTGCCTGTAGCAACGATCTGAGAAAGGAAAAGGATGTTTTTTGAACAAATATTATGTATGTCTTTAGAATGCCAAGGCATTATAGTTTGGAAAGGAATTAATCCATCTTTGATCTGAAAAAGTTTTATCATTCTTGAGGAACAAATAAACGAGAAATCTGATTCATGGTAAATAGTGAAGAAATTGGAGAAAAAATTAGTATGTCTATAATGTTTGAGAGACAAGGGCCAACAGACAAGAGGGTTATAGTATAACCAAAAATGTTTTTGGAGCTGTTTAAGACGTATGATAGTCATTAGTCCTAAAATAGAATCATCAAATGAAGAATTGACAATGTTAATAAACTGCTGTATTTTAGAGGGTTGAGAAACAGCTGCGAGATCGTTAAATCTATAGGCCAGTTTGCTATAAATAATCGAATTAGGAGTACTAAGCTTAAGGCTTAATTTATGTTTAATAAGCCTTCGCATAGATGAATTGTTCTTAAGGCCAGTATCTTTTCCTTTACCTTTATCGTTATCCAAGGCCTTAGAGTAATTCATATTGTTACGATAATTAGAAGGTCAATCGTTTCTATTATTGCTGTTCTTAATGATTAAGTTACAAAAACCCGCAGGTTTGTAACGATTATATAATTTTTGAACAGAGGGGAGGTGAGAACGAGAGCGTTTATTATCCTCAGAGTCATTTTTTACTTGAGCGGTAATTTGGGACATTTCATAACAATATGCTCAGTAGAGTTACACTTGTGACAGCATTTAAGATCTGCTACGCATCATTATAACTCTTGATCACTGAAGACATAGTTGATTTTAATGGCATCGTTGAGTGCTTCTTCTGAATCGAAATAAAAGATGGTGAAGGGTCTTGGCTTATAATTATTGGATCTCAAGATATAGCAACTTTTTGCTTTAGTTGCGATGATAATATCTTGTAGATCACGTGCTGTCATTCTGAATGGAAGATTGATCAGTTTAAAGCGAATATCGTTTCTAAATTTCATCTGTTCAGTGGTGAGATCAGCTGGGTAAACTCTTACACAGTCATTATACAAATATCGTGACCATTGGGTGTAAAACAATTGGATGGCATTGGGATCTTCATATGTAATATAGGCGTGCTACCACATGCCACGTGTTTGCATTTTTAACATTTGTAACCTTGCCATATTTAGAAAAAACGGAGGTAAGGGAGTCTTGTTTAATATTAAGATGAATATCTGTGATGTGCAGGATGCGTTGTTGGAACTGCATATTGTCTTTGTAGTATTTGTAATCAACAAGTTGGTCGATTCCCAAATCAGGAAATTTCATTAAGGAGGCGGAGATCATTGACTTCTGATCGGTGAAGTAGATCACTGCAGAACGAACGAAATTAACACGACAAACGTTAACGCCTTTAAACGCGTTGTTTTAGGCGAACTGGTTGTTGATGATCTTAATAATCATTTAGGTAGGAAGATCTCTCGCCGTTTTGGTGATAGTAAAGGCACATGTGAAGGCAGTTGGTCTTGAAATAGTGATGAAGTCATGACTGTCAGTATCCATGTTTTCATCATCCTTAATAGGAACATATTCATCCTTGTCCAAAACGTTGGAGGGTGTAGTAGGTTTTGATCCAAAGGTATCAGCAACAATTTCTTCATCAGAGAGGGAACTGGGGTCAGAAGTAGTTTTAGACGAAGAGGCGACGGTTTTTGGTTGCTTGTCTTTTGGGTCGAAACGAAAAGTGTTTTTTGAACTGGTAATGCGACTGGTTTTTTTCCCATTTTTATTTGTAAATTTTTGTAAAAACTCTTTTGAAAAAATTTGTATGTAATGTAGGAACAATAAACTAACTAAACAGAGTTGAAAAATATTAAAGATTTTTAAAGCGAAACGTTTTTATTTTCTAAAAAATTTTTGTTTCCAAAAATTTTGGAAGAAAGGAGAAAGAATTTTTCACTTAATTTAGTTGCTAGAAACAAGTGAACAAACATAAAATGAAGTAGTGCGATAATGGTTACACAAATTTCAGTATGAAATGATTTTTTTTTATTTTGGATGAAAATGGGTTTTTATGATAAAGTATTGATGTTGATTTGATTTTCTTGTCTCATTAAAACCGCCTGTTGGACTTCGTATAAATCGATTGCAACAATAGCATTAAAAATGCTGGAGGAGGAAGAGCTAAAGGTGTATATCCAATTGAAGTAATTGGTGAATCATAAAATATGTCACATACGGGGATATTAATGATATATTTTTGGTCGTTCGCGGCATTACAGCCAGCTGTGCCAGTAGGAGAACCGTCATTCCCAAAATACCACTATTATATAAAACATGGAACTTTGAGTATCACAGGAATTTTTCTTCCTCAATGTTCAATCTTACCTTTTGCTTTGCGACTCCTTGTCGCCAAAGTATGGCCTAATATTTAATAAAATAAATATAAAAATTATTTAATTATTAGAATAATTTGACAATGAGACATACCATCTCTATTCACTGCTACCGTTGTGTGTAACCAATACATCGTAAGTTTTATACCTAGTACAGATCATACGTACAACTGTTGTTTCCAAAGCCTAAACTTGACCATCATCTCGGAGGAACTTTGGGGCACGGCTACTTCAAGTATTATTCTCGCATAAGCGTTTCCCTATATCAACCATACAAGTATTATAAAATTTCCTACATCATATTAGTATCAAAACCTTCTGTCGCTTGGTTGTGGACCAGGGTGCAGGACGGGAAGAGCTGGAACGAAAGTATGACGGAGCTTTGCGAGTTCCATCTAGTGCATCATGAACTTTAAAAAGGAGATGATAAATATTAGAACATAATAATAAGTGGGAGATCAAGTAAAATTCCCTTACGTGGCTGCCCAAGAACTTGTATTGGAGCATTATTATACATGCCAGGACAAAGGGCGTTGAAGTATTTTCCAAAAATATCAATAACTGCTTCATGTTCAGTCGAACACATATATACGGTGCCCTTTTTATCATCAAGCTTGTATCCGCTTATCTCTTCGCTTTCAATGAAAGAATTGTATTCTACCACGGATATGTTTGAGGCAATCGGAAAAGGAAGACTGCAATTCACACGAATCAACACTGGACGAACCTCAATACAAACTAGTGCAATGCCTACTCACCTGCTTTCGTCTAATGGCTTCTTTGGCAATTGAAGCTTCTATGACGAAAACGCCTTCTGAAGGACCCTAAGTGTATCATTAAGAACCATATTAAGAGCCATAGAAGAAGGATCAGTTAGTGATTTAAATATGAACAAATTTTGTAAATTACACGTGATCGAACAAAATAATTGAAATGAGATTAAAATTTGGATTTTCTTCCTTTTCTATTGACTGCCTTCCATATTTGTTATTTAATTTTAATTAAACAAAAAAATGTATGATTAAATCATTTAAATTTCCTTTATTTTCTTATCCAATAATTTCCTGATAAAACCCGTGTTTAATATGTCCATGTTCTAATTGAAAAAAAATGGGATAAATGAAAAAAAGGTTAATACCGCGGGCATAATTTTATATGTTTTTAATTTTGATGTTTTCGACCGAATTTCATGAATCAAGCATTTACATTATTTTCTTTTCTTTCAAATCTTTAAATCGTAACCACCTTCTTTTACGTTCATATAATAATATTTTTTCTATAATTAAAAATTAATATTAAATATAGAATACGTTCGAGTTAAATTCATGCTTTATAATCACCTTCAATATAGACAATCTGTTTTGGTATTCTTTTCTTTTCTCCGATAACAATAACGTGTTCTTATTTTCCATTCTTGAAGTTTCTGTTGTTCTAGCGACACCGTAAATTAGATAACAGTCTAAAGAAATATAAATAATTTATTCATATTTAGAAATTGTAAATAAAAAAAAAATAAAGAAAATAACAAACGTGTTTTAATTTAACAGTTTTATTTGAGTTTCATGGATATTGTGCTACGAAAAATATTATTTTTACACTCTACGCGTAAAAGTATTCAAATTCAATTGTGCCAATGCTGAAAGATAACTATAAAATTTCCATTGTTAATCGAATTATAATAAAAAGAAAAATATAAACCTTATTAGCTAAAAAAGACAACGTTTTTAATGTGTGCCATTCTTGAATAAATCGACTGATTATTTTTTTCCGAAAAACACGCGTTAAAAATCATATCAAATATGTATAAATATATATAACCTTCGGCACGATATTCCACTTTAATTATAATTCCAGTCATAGCATGTTGTTTGTTAAAAAGTCCAGTTCATATAAAGCCGAAGCAACCTCATGGTTTCTCTCAAAAAGCGGTATAGAATTATCTTTAAAATGAATTTTTAACCATGAATCAATCTATACAAAAAATTATGTCAATACCTGAACCTTTTTTTTTTTTTTTAAAAAAAAAAAAGAAAAAAAAGAAAGAAAAAGGACGCGTACAAATTCACATTTCATGCCAAAGCTATTATCATCTTCATTTCCAAATATTTGATTCATTTTTTTTTCGTTTTTTGAGATAAATTTATGACAGGCAAAAAAGAACCATAATCTAATGACGCGCTGAGGTTTATTAATTTTATACGATCAAAAAAAAATAAAAAAATATATTATTAGAATTACTATTCCTTTAATCATTTTCATCATTATCATCCCCTAAACTAACTTCATTAACAACTATATTATTATCATCCATATGCCCATTAAAAGTAAAATCATAAATAGAAAAGGTAAAGTCCCAATCTTTTGTACTAACTAATTTTAAAAATCTAAAACCAGTTTCACGTATAAGAAAGTTACACGATAATAAATTATTTTTGGTAAAAGTTGAAGATAAATCATGAATTTCTAATTTAGGTAATGGAGATAGTTGAATCTATTGATTTTGACGAAGAAAGGAGAATCGTTAAATAAAATAAATAAAGAGATTTAATTTAATTAAATAATAATAATAAATCACTTACCCATTCAGAACCATCATGAGAAATTTGTATAGATAGATGATTAAAATAATCGCGATCATGATCAATAATTAAATTAAAAGTAAGTGGAACCGGCATAGGTAATAATACATCTAATCCAATATAATCGTCTTTTTTTATAACTATAAAATAATAATAACAAATTTTGTTATTTTCATTTTATTAGTTATCCTTTTAATCCTAAAATTTCAAATAGATATAAATAAGAGGTTAAGATACTGTACCATCCTGAGAAATCCAGGTAGTAAAATTATCATGATCAACGGCATTAGAATAAGGATGAGATATGAAATGATGGGTATTAAAAAAACTAGAATGCAAACGTTCACTTTCACTAATATTAATGTAAGGGAGATATTTAAATGATTTTATACTGGGAAAACTATGTTTATTTGTTAAGAATAAACATTTATCATTATAACAAGGTGATCTAACATCTCTTTCGTATAACGTCGGCGAAAATTCTGTGTCTTCCGTTGTAAGATTAGCACGTAAAGATAAATAATTATATAATCGAATTAATGCTTGATGCATATATAATTTATTACGTATTCTACCTTCACCGGTTGAACTGAAACCATTTTCTTGTGGTAATTCAAATAAAGGATTTTCTAATTGATAAGGGACTTGATTCATGTACGTAGTAAAATACGTATCACCATATCTAAATTCTAACGAGCTCATTTCTGTTTCACTTGTCATTTTTAAAAATTTTATCACATACTCTCTAGAAGTAAATGCTCCTGTACCAACCCATGAAAAACATGAATGTAAATTAATATCTACATCATATCAAAAATAGTTATTTTGGTAACAAATTTTTTTTTTAAAAAAAAAAAAGACAAGTAGATAGATAATAAGGTTATGATTACCCTCGTTGAAAAAACACCACTTCCAATTCGTTAAAGAATAAACATCCGCATTAGTGTCGGTATGTATTAAATTGGGGAATCTTAAAAAGTTACTATACATAGACCTTGGATATTTATTTATCCAGTCATCATCTTGAAAGTAACAATATTTTGTCGTTGCCATTGAGCATGCTAAATATCTTGCTATAAAATACATATTCCCCGGTGAATTATAATATCTTATCTTATTACAATGTGTATCAACAAACATCTAATTTATATTAGGAAACATTAATAACTAATTATTACTAAAAAAAATTACCAAATAATTATATATTCTTTCTCTACTTACTGGATCTGATAGATGTATATCGACATTATTATTCCATATAAAAATTTCTTTAAATATGGAATATTGACACAAATGTTTTACAATAATTTTAATGTTATCTAATCTATTCCAATTCAATAAGATAGCTGTGCTCTCTCCATCTCCTTCTGTTGGTATAATATCAGTCAACATGTCCACATCCTGTATTATTCCTATTTCATTCTTTTTCTTCCTATCATCGTTACTACTTCCACTAGTATAATAAAATATAATTAAAATTAAAATTACGATAAATATTAATGCTCTTTGCTTCGAATACTTCAATATGTATGGTCTTATTGATGTTTCTTCCCATGACTTTATTAAAAAATTCGTTTTGGTGTTAAATACTTCTGCATTTATATTGATATGTAATGATGGTGATATTCTTGCCGTATTTGCATTCTTATCTAACATTGTAAATAACAAATTGCAAAGTGTAAAATTCCCGACGATTGAATAAAATTTAAACAAAAAAATCCAACCAATTATGTACAGCATCTGTTACTGATTCATGTGATAAACAACAAACTCGACAACTTCTAAATTTCCTCCTCCCTTTTAACTTTTACAATGTTACAACCAGCTTTTCCTGTTGTTCATAAACAATATGTAACTTCTTTATATAGGCGTTCCCTAAAAACAGCTTTAGATTGGTATGTAAATCGCTCTGCATGGCGTTCTGTAGCTTTAGATATACGTGCTCGTTTTGAAGCAAATAAAAATGTTGCTTCCTTACAAGATTTACGTAAAATTTTACACGACACTGAAAAAGAACTTGAAAATTATAGTCATCCTGATCCCTATAAATGTTATTATGAAATTTATTTTTATTTTTGTTTTTATTATTATTTTTTCCTCTATTAATTATTTATTTAAAATAGATCCAACTGCACCGGATGGTTCAAAATGGGAAAGAAATATTCCTCCTCCTTTGTTTGCTGAGGAAACTTATGTAACTATTAACTTGATTTTAACTAATTTAATCAACTTTATAAAAATGTATTCTAATCATTAAAATCTTTAACTTATAATAAATAGGATCATCATTAACTTTTTGTTCAATACTCTATATCTTGTTATAGATAGATACATAGATACATAATTATGCAAGATCATTAGCAACTAATTTAAGGATGTCTTCAGTATTCTTGCCAACATTTTTCATATTTTTTGCAACAATTTGCCATCTTTCGCCATGATGAGGTTCTGCTATTACACACCTTGTAATTACATCTTGCTGATGTTGCTGTTAATAAAGGGGAAAAAAATTTTAAATTGGCAAAAGTTTAATAAATGAAATATAAAGGAACCAAAAGATATTTATTTACCTCAGTTCCATGTTGACATTCAAACTTGTAAAACCATGCCCACGAATCTCCTCGATCTGGATCAACTTTTACTGCTTTCTCAAACCAAGTTCTAGCTTTATCCACTTTACGTTCGGACCAAAATAATCTCGCTACTGTTGCAATAACTATGGGATCATTATCACATTTTTTAAGCGCATCAACAGATTTAGTTTTACGTTGTGGACGAGTCTCCATAAATATCGCCTCTGACCATAATAATCCTGAACTGGGACATTCCTGTAAAGCTATTATATGTAAATAAAAGATAGGAATTAATTAGGGTTATCATCAATAATATAAAATTCACAGAAATTATTAGTAACTTACCCTTTGCCAATAAAACTTTTGCCATATTGATATTGTTACCTCTCAATTCCACACGAATTGCTTCGCACCTATCGAAAGAAATTTATATTTAGCATATTGTTTAAACTAACTCCGACATAAAATATTTAAATATATACCATAATTCAGGCGTTTTGGGATTCAATAAACGACCTGTTTCCAGAGTAGCTCTAGCCCTAATTAAAAGGCCAGCTTTCTCTTCTAGCCTAGAAGCCAATATCCATAAAGGTATAGATTTCGGACAATTTTTTACAGCTTTAGCATATGTAAGCCTAGCTTTAGCTATATCACCTTTTTCATCCTCAATTTGACCCTTTATCATCCATAATTTATCAAATGTAGGATATCGATTCAAAGCTTCATCTAACATCACTATAGCTTCCATAATCTTATTAAGCTGACGCTCTAAAACTATGGATTTCATCCATACTTTCTCTGTACCAGCTTGATCTCTTGCTTTTTGTAATAACATCCTTGCACGTTCATATTCTCCATTTTCGGCTTCCAACTTAACAGCAGCTAACCAAATTTGTTCACTATTTGGATTCGCTCTAAAAGCTTCAGTTAAGATGAATCGAGCTCCATTAACATCACCAGCAAGCCATTTTTCTTTAGCACCCATAAGCCAAAGTACTTCAGCCTGAGGGCAAAATCTAACTGCACGCTGTAATAATTCTTCCAGTGAATCTCTAGTTCCATGTGATTTTTCTAAAAAAGCAGCTCTACGCCATATTGATTTTTTACCGGGGAAAGTTTTTAACGCTTGTGCATATATAGCACGTGCTGTTTCAATGGAGCCATGTGAAATACAACTCTCCGCATCTTCTAACCAAATGGTTTTCTTATCTTGCTCCTCAACTCCCATACCAATAGTATTTCTTACAATGGCTTGACAAGTCCCAACGCTACCTTCTCTTTCGCATTTTTCTGCTTCTTGTAACCATTGATCACGTCCTAACACACTACCCTTTTCAGAAAGAACCGTAACAGCTTTAGCAACAATCTTATCAGTCATCTTCTCATTACCTTGTTGTTCCTCGAGACGAGCAGCTGCAATCCAGATTTCGTGTGAAGTAGGGATTTGATAACGTGCTTTATTAAGAACTTTTTTTGCATTGTCATAACTTTCAAGTCGAGCAAGAGCAAGCCATAAATCAACAGAAAGGGGGACTAATTCGGTAGCACGTGCTAACAGGATACGAGCGTCCGAAGGATTTTCTTCCATATTGACTGCCGCTTTCCAAAGTTTCACAGAATTTGGTACAAATTCCAGAGCTACATAAAAATAACAAATAAATTTTCGCGTTAATTAAATATTTCATGTTAGAACAAGATCAATTAATTAATTACCTCTTCTCAAAACCTTTCTCTGAGCTTTAAGATCAGTTTCTAATTTCACAGCTTGTAGCCAAATTTTAACTGATTGTGGAAGATGCCTAACGGCATTAGCCAATATTGTTCTTCCATTATCAGCATTATTCAACCTGGCTGCTTCTAACCAAACATCTTCATTTTTCGGACATTCTTCACATCCTTTGGCAATTATTGTTCTGGCTTGAGCTATTTTACCAGCAACTTCTTCTAAACGCGCTGCTGCAATCCAACCTGGAGCGTGTTTTGGATTAGTTGAAATAACCGAGTTAAGCAATAATCGAGCTTTTTTGATATCGCTAGTGAAATTTCAAATATTCAATATATTTAATATTTATTAATAAATAATCTATTAAGAATTCTTCAATAATTTATTCAAAATAAAAAATAAAAATACCCTATCTCAGCATCACTTTTAATGACAACACTATTTAAGTCCGTCAAGTAGCCTTTAGGGTCCACCGTAGTCTGACCGCTAACTGAATCGGAAATTTGATCCAACTTCAAACTTAATACTTTATCTCTTGCTTGCCCAATTTCTATAAAGTTTGTCATCATCCCGGAATCTGGTGCAGGTGTTTGAAAGCCTCCAAATTTCTATAATAAATTAAATTTAAATATATTATTACTAATATCATAGGTAAATGAAATATTCATTACCTGTTGTTGTGCATCTAATGTAGTAACATATTTGTTCTCTTCTCTAGCCTTTTCCAACAAAGAATCAGGAATAGCATAATATCTTTCTCTTAAATTGGTTTTTTTTCTATTTTTTCCGACAAGATCACCAACGTCGGGAAGATTTGCCCATTCATCATCAGTTACTGCAGCAAGACCACGTTTAAGGTCAGCAAATTGTTGTTGAATTTTAGGACGTTCGGCACGATATTTTTCCAACTCTTCTTTTTCACGAGCTTCACGTCTAGCTTTCCTTCTTTCATCCATTTTTTGATCAATAGCCTCATAAATTTTGTCAGCTTCTTCATCATCTTCTTCATAAGGAGCCGAAGCAAAAAGTCCAGTCTCATTATCTGGATCTTGAAAACGTTCATCATCATCATCATCCTCTTGTGCTTTCTTTTGTAACGCATCACTATTATAACAATAATAATTAAATAATATTATTTGAATTAGCAAAAAAATGTCATTCTTCAATAAAAATTACGTACCACAACATAATATATTTAATTCCTTTCGTTCTCTAATGCATAACCCATTTTTGGGGTTCTTATGAAATAACGGAGGATTTGTAACAATAGTGGTATGAATTAATTAAAAATATGAAAATAGTAAAAATGAATAAAGTATAAATACCTGAAATCGGCAGGCCCTTCTCTTGCAGGACCGATATCAGATCGCGTTGTAAAACCTGTTGCACTGTATAAAAAAAAAAGGTACACGTTAGGTGGATATTTTATGTTGAAGAGAATTTTCAGACTGAAATAACCTACCCTCTACCTAAACCGGCAACATAATTTGGAGGAGCCTCTTTATTCATAAAGTCTTTTGTAACTGAAAACATTTTCGATGTACTCTTACAGTAAGTAAATCAATCAAGAATCTGGAAAAATTCAAAAAACGAAATTATTAATAATAAATTTCAATGTAGATTTCTTAGTATGCGCAAAATCCATTAACCAATTCAAACATGTGATCAAAATCAGAATTGAGTACACCGATTTTTAATTATTGAAATTCATTAATAAACAAACCTTTTTATTAAGTTTACTCTGATAATGAATCAAATAATTCTGATTCTGAAGAAGAACTACTTAATGCTGAAGATGATGAAATAATTCTTTTGGGATTATGTACTTTATTAGATTCTCGTTATTTAGAGTCACGTTTTCGAAGTGATATTGCTAAATCTCAAGAGTGGTGACAATCAATTGTTCCCAAATATGATGACATTAGATTTAAAAAAATTATGAGAATGGATTCCCAAAGCTTTCAAAGTCTTATAAATAATATTGAAATACACACAGTTTTTCAATCAACCGGTAATAAACAGCAAGCCCCAGTTGAATTACAACTAGCTATTTTTTTACGAAGAGTTGGGTCAAAGGATGATATTTTTAGTATATGTTCACGATATGGTATTTCAGAGGGCACCGTTTATCTCTATTGTAAGAGAATCATGTTGGCTATTCTTTCATTAAAAAGTTCATTAGTTGTATGGCCAACAGGACAAATAAGAAAGATGGTTCATTCAGGCTTTAAAGATATTGGAGGATTTAACAATGTTATTGGTACCATTGATGGTACTCATATAATCTTAGGAATTGCTCCTTTAAAACAACCTGAGATATATTGGAATCGTAAAAAAAAATATTCAATTCAATGTCAAGGTATTGTTGATTATCGTGGTATTTTTATTGATTATGAAATAGGATGGCCAGGATTAGTTCATGATGCAAAGGTATATCGAGATTCATTTTTTTATCAAAATGTTTCTACACTTATAAAAGGATGGGATTATTTATTAGGAGACTCAGCATATCCATTATCTAATTTTCTTATTAAACCTTTTATTAATACTCAAAATAATTTACAAATACAATTTAATATTACTTATTCTTTACATCGTGTAGTAGTAGAAAATGCTTTTGGTAGACTTAAGAATAGGTTTAGTTGTTTAAAAGATTTAAATGTTAGGAAAATATCAACTGCAGTTTGTTTAACTGAATGTTGTATAATTTTACATAATTTTTTGAAAATAAATAATGATAATTGGGAAATAGATGATAATAGTAATAATAGTGATGATAGTGATGATAGTGATGATGATAATGATGATGATAATAATAATTATGAAGGTAATTTAAATGAAAATTCATTAAAAAGAGATAAATAAAAAGAGATTAATCAAAAAAGATTTATTATTATTATATTATCGTTATAATATAAAAACTAAAAACTAAAATATTACATTATATTTTAATTCTAATTCCTTCACCTTTAAATCATATTTCATTTTCATTCTTTCCTTTTTACATTCTCTTTTATATGTCAATCTTTCTTGTTCAATTTTTAATCGTTCCTTTTCTAACTCATGACTTTTATCTAATTTTTATTTTTTTAACATCATTTTTTGCTTCCAAATTTTTTCACATGTTTGACTCATTTCAGCTATTGCTGTGATCATAACTTCAACACTATTTTTGTTTTTTTGTTTTTTATTAACCTTTTTAGTTTCGATTTTCTCTTCAATCATAATATCTGTTGATTTATTAGCCAAAAATAAAGGTGATATATTTTCACATCCCAAAAATTATATCTAGCTTATCATACCATTCCCAATCTTTTTGTTCTACTTCAGATTGATTATTATGCTTCTTAATATTTTCATATTTTTTTATTAAACGTACAAGTTTACCTTAAATAATTTAAAAAAAAAATTAAAGATTAAGATATTTGCTTATAAAGAAGCAAAATAAAAAACTTACTCTTTATTGCAATTGCTTCTTAATTTGGTAAAATATTCTTTACTATGTCATTATAAGATTTAGTTTTATTTTCTTTAGACCAAAACGTGAAATTTTCTTGAAGATAATCAAGTAAGATCTTAATTTCACTATTTTTCTAACCAGATTTTTCATCGGGATCTTGATCTTTGTCATCATCTTTTTTCTTAACATGAGATTATTTAGAAATACAGGTCCTTTTAGGCTGAGAAATTTTATCATTTTTTTTAAACTAAAATAAATTTTAATAAATATTTTATATTCACAGTTAAAATATATATTACAAAACTTGCCAAATAAGTTTCATCATAATTTTCATTTAATTTAATTAAAGTGGGAGATGAATTATATAATTGAGAATCATATTGCTGTTGAAAAACATATTGCTTTTGAAGAGGGAGGATGTTGTAAAGAAAAGACATGTTGCTGTTGCTTTTGAAATTGGTATTGCTACTGCTAAGAAAGTTCAGAAAGTTGCTGTTGAGGTTGAAAAAGAATATTTTGTGATTGTGATTCAGTAAACACTGGTTTAGGTAAAATAAATTGCAGAGTAAGTGAAGTTAAATGCGTTTTTTTTTGAGTTTTAGCTCTATAAAAAGAAGCAGAAGAGTTAGGACGTTTAGTTGAAGTTTTTCCATTAAATTGTAATTGGTTCATATTTAATAAGATTCTTTTAAAAGTATATTAAACCGTATTTTTACATGTTATTATAGCAGTCAGACAGTAGATAAAAATTCAATCAAAAATTCCACCTTTTTTTATTTGCAAAGTTCAGATTGTTGATTATGTTACACGATTTTGCCAGCCAATAATTATCAATTCAAAACCTGATCAAAAATTTGAACGATCAGAAATGAACTGGCTTATTACTAATAAATTACAAGTTATGTGCCTACTAATTTATCATTGATCCAAATTATTTATAAAAATAATTCATTGTAATGATCTTAAATCAATAAAAAAATTTTTTTAATTATACAAATTTTTTATTTAAAATAATGGAAATATACAAACAAGAATTAAACAATGCAAAAAAAGAGTATAAAGAGGCAAAGGAGAAGTTAGAGGAGTTCGAAAAGGAAAATAAACAGAAGAGATTGAAGGATTTGGAAGAAAAGTTGGATAACAAAAAATACAGGAATGAAGAGTAAAAAAAAAGGTGGGAAGACAGGATAGCTGAGTTAAAAGAAGAGAAGAAGAAGCTGAAGAAGAATTTAGAAGATTGGAAGAATCAAATGATATATTTACAAAAGAAATTAGCAGAATTTATAGAAGGTAATAAACAAATTGTGTAAAAAAAATATAAAAAAATATTTTCATTCATTCCATTTTATTTATTTATTTTATTTTTCATTCATTTTATTTCGTTTATTTATTTATTTATTTGGCATACTGTGTAGCTGTTTCACCAACAAGAAAGCTATTATCTGATAATATCAAAGAAATACTTGCTAAATATATCAATAATAATAAAAATTTTGCAAACCACATTCTAACTCTGAAAATATCCCTAATAACATAAAAGATATATCAATCTATTTGAAATTTGTGAATCGTGAAAAGGCAATAGTACAGCTGATGAAAAATATAAACAATTTATATGAACTTATGATAAATCAAAAAGAATATGCAGAACCTTTAAAACATTTATATTTTGCTGCTGTTGTAGAAATAGCTGGGAAAGGCAAAATAACATTTGCTTAATGTGCTTATGAAAAGGAAAATAACTATCATAATATTGTGAGACCTGAAATCATAGTTGCAGTGAAAATTTATATTAATGCAGATCAATTTTTCATGTGTCATATGATGGTTTCATCACAGAAGATTTTAAAGAGAAACCTATGGTTGTATTTGAATTAAAATTACCTTATGAAGCACTGAAGTATAAGCTTAAGAAGTAAGATTTTGCACATGTCAATTATAATAATTATAATAATCTATTTATAACAATTATAAAATATTATACTGATTTATTTATCTTTAACTTACAGAACAGAAATTTCAGAATTTGAGAAATTTCATAAAAAATTTAAAGAAAATAATATTTCCTTTCATCAAATTCTTGATGTGATTCTTTTTTATTTTTCAAATGAAAATGATAGCTCAGATCATCCACTCATAATTATTAATATTAATAACACAAATTTAATATTTGAACAGAATATAGACATGTTTCTTAAATAAGTTATCAAAAAATTCTCATATATGATTATTCAACAACATTATTTTCTCTTTCCTATTCTAACTGAAATTTATGCAAGCAATTTGTTTAATATTGTTAAATCAACAAGTATCAAATTTAAAGAAATTCAGTTGCCATTATTAAATACTAATTATGTTAAAGAAATTATTCTTGAATTAGCAAATCATAGATAGATAGGCTAAAAATTTGATGCTTATTATTATTGATTGTTTTTAAAGTAATATATGAATTAATATATTTATATTTGTTAGAATAAAGATTTAACAGAGAAGTGAGTATAAGTTGCTATATGTTTTATTTTGTAATATATGGGAGGTTTGCTAGGAAATAAGACTCTGAGCATTTTTTATTAAAATTTTAATTTTTATTGCATTTTAATCTAACATTATCAAAAATAAAAATTAAAATTTTAATAAAAATGCTCAAAGTCTCATTTCCTAGAAAACCTCCTTCCTATATTTCTAAAAAAAAGTCAAATTTTATTATATATAGTATTTAGAATTCTCTGCATATTTGGATTATATTATTGAACTTCTTGGTATGGTTAGATGATTTTTAGAAGTACTAATATTTCAGATAGGAATTATTGGATTTGCTGATATGAATCAAAGTTAATCTTAAGTTCTACCATGTAAGATTTTGCTATTTCTTACAAAAAATCCCAAAATTCTGTGAAATTCTTATTAAAAACAAAAGAACATATTAATTTGAAATATAATCACTATTTTGAACTCTATGAAAAGAAAGAAAATAGAGAAATTATTCCTTTATTAGTAACATATAGTTTGTTTGATGTCAATTGGAGTTATAAAAAAACGTAAATTTGAGATAAGTATATATATATATGATTATTTTATGATGTATAATATTACGTGATATTTTTTAATAGGAACTGAAACAAGAAGAACTTATTTTTATTGATGAAAATTTAGATGGAAAATATTCAATTAAACTTTCTTTTTTGACTTTACATAAAATATATACATAATATTGTAATCCTAGTAAAATTCAGAGATTTTATCATCTAACACTATCTAAAATATCCTGGTCTTTTACAATTTATCCGATTTAAAAATTGAATAGTATCTGTGAGTACTTTGTGATATACCGGGTATATTTAATGGTAGGATATTATAACCAGGGGTATTATATTATAGGATATTTTATAACAGGAATATAATTATATAAAATACTTATATGCTGTATAATATAAGATGATTAATAACTTTATAATGATTGCGTTAAATCACAAAATGGTAATACCTTCATAAATGCATGTAATTCATATGGTTAGGCGGTTTTGACTGTGATTGATATTTTTATTTAAGGTTGATTTCTTTTTTAAAGTTTATTATGATATATACTTGTTTTTGGCCAGATATGGTTTAACCTATAACTGTTGATCCTAAATATCACGTAAAGGTAACAAGCTTCATTTAAGTTTTTTTATTTAAAAAAAAATTTACAAAAAAACCCAAATTAAAATAATGTAATGGATAGAAAAAGGAGAGACAATAGTTGGATGAAGAGGATTATTGTGGTGTTTGTATGTTTGAATATAATAAAGGGTGTTAGAATCGAATTAGTGAGAAATTAAGAATGACGTGAAGGAGAAGGATGGTTAGAAAGAAGATTAGAAGTTAATGATTCTAAAATATATATTGTAAATAATTAAGTATAGATTAGAACAATATAATCAAATAAATTTCTTATCTTAATTTCTTAACAAATCTCACCTTCTTCCTTCTACACAAGATGCTAAAAAAAAAATACTGGATTTAATTATGGTTCTCTTTTATCAATATCAATTAGAAGGTTTACTATGCTAACCAGATTTCTCCTAAAATCTATTATCAAATTGCTCACCAAATACTTCTCCTACATGTGTTCATCTTTCATCAGATTTCTCTTCAACATATCTTTGAAATAACTAAAAAATTAAAATTAATAAATTATATATTTTTTTTTAAATATAATTAATCTCCTTTTTTTTACATGAATTTACTTACTTTACAATCCTTAATCATTCCTTTAAACTTGTCCCTAGCCTACACATCAGTAAAAGTTGTTTTCAAATTTACTTCAATCTGCACTGCAATTTAGTTCCAAAATGGTAACTTTGATCTACTGAACCTTCTTTAATAATCTTCATTTTCTCTCTTCTTAAATCAATCAAAAGTTGCATTTCTTCTTCAGACCATTCAATATTGTTAGGCATTTTAGAAATTAAGAAAATATTTGAATTAAAAAATTATTTAATAATTAGAAAAAAACAAAATCATGATAAAAACTTTCTTTTTATAAAATCGTATTGAAATACGTTAGCATTAAACAAATTTGCAAAAAATTATCTAACTTTCTAATATTTTAAAGCAAGATACATCATCATTAAACAAGTTTGCAAATTATCTAATTTTTCAATATTTTAAAGCAAGACACATCAGCATTAAACAAGTTTGCAAATAATTATCTAATTTCAAAGTGAGTTACATCAGCATTAAATAAGTTTGCAAATAATTATCTAATTTTTCAATAATTCAAAATTTCATAATTTTCGTAATTTCAAATTTTACAATTTTCACAATTTCAAATTTCAAATTATAGGAATCAATGCATAATCACCACTGATTCAACCCAAGATTAACACTAGTTAATCTAGGGTACAACACTATTTAATTCTATAAAAATTTATTGATGATTGGTCAATTCTAATATACTAGGACTCAAAATTGCTTACACGTTCAGAATATAGAGGGAACTCTAAGTCCTGAGCTTAAGACTGAAACATAATATGTGTATTGAAGGTGTTATTGTACAATAGTTAATTATTAATATATTAATATATTACAAAAAAAAGATTATCTTTCAGATAATCAATAAATACTGATTTAATTATCCCGATTTAATTTAAATTGACTTTTTAATATACTGTAGATGCTACATAGCTGATTTTAAAATATGATATATAATAAAATGGTTGCTGCCATAATTTTTTAAATTTTTTTAAACTAATTTTATATATTCAGACAAATCTTTTATATTCAGAAAATGTATATTATATTTAAAATAGTTGGGTATTTTATATTTAATAGACATAAAACAGGAGAGTTTTTTAAAAATAGTATTATTTTTGCAGTTTTTTATTTTTTTAGGAAAATTATAATAATAATCTATTGTGTTCAGAAAATTTAAAAATAGTTAAATTTTCTTTTTACA